CTGTCCTGGCTTCAGCTGCTGTACGCTCACAACACAAGGCTGCGGAGGCAATCCTGGTTTTTACAGATCTTTTTCCTGGGTTAATAAAACCCCAAAACATAAACCCAGATTAAAAACCCACCAAAACCAAAAAGCCCTACTCCCAGAAGGAGCGAGCGATTCATTGCGTGTGTGTGTCAGCTCCTGCTGCCTTCACACAGCAAAAGCCACAGCATCCCTGCAAGCGTGGGACTGGCCCCTGTGTGCAACGGGCTTCAAGGGGCACCGTGGCCAGCGGGACTGCACGGGGGGCAGCCCCAGCGGGGTTCGCCTGGCTTTTCCTGCTCCCCCTCCCCAGTGGCCACAAGTGCCAAGTTTGCTCCCGTGCCGCTGGTGCCTGCCTGGGGAGTGAGGAGCCTGCTCGGGGCAGGCCCTCCTCGGAGTTAATGGCATCCCTGTTCCCAGCGAAATACGTTTTCTACATAGGTATTTTTGTTCAAAGACTAAACTTGGCATGCGTGATGTTTAGCTAGTCACAAAACCACCTTTCAAAACTTGGGCTGGCTGAAACAACACTTAAATGTTAGAAACGCGCCACCGCCTTAACCACTAACCTGTTAGAAATGGAGCAGAAGAATTTGCTGCTCCTGAATTTCCTTTAGCTTTTTTAAAGGCAGCCAGCCCCATCTTGGCTCCATGTAAGAAACCTGCCAGCTCTAGCCCTAGGACCTCATTTTTGAAAATCAGAGAGGAGGAAGTGCAACTATGGTCCTGAGGCTGTCAGCACCCTCAGGCAAGAGGTCCATCAATTCTGTTTCCACATTTCAGCTTTAATGAGCAGAAAACAAGGTTCTGGTAAAGAATAAAAATCATCTTCCTTGCGGTATATTGCCCAGAGCTCTCCGATTCCAAACTCCACCCAAATGGAGATCTTTTCACTATCTACTTCAACTTTTAAGATGGTGTTGTTGTGAATAGTAAGTCATCCTCAGACCTATGCATTCATCTTTGGTATGAATTTCACCCAGAAACAGGTTGAACACGAATTAACAAATTGGCAAGTAGTCCAAACTGATATGGACTAATGAAATACCAACAGTCATTTCATTACATTTCCTAGAATTTTGATTTATCAGAGATGTTAATCATCAAATTGTGTGAACATTACATGACATTACATGGCATAGCTTGTGCACTCTATGGCTACAGTAAGATGATCTGGGACTTATATGATGCTAGGGCAAAATGAGTGACTTTAACTGATCTGCGAAGTATTTCACCTGTAATTTTCAAACAAGCCAACGTGACTCCAGCACAGCTCTGTTACAGGCATCCTGCTAAATGGCACGTCAAAGTCTCTCTCAGGAGATGCAGCTAGATGAGTTTTTCAGACAGTGACACCAGCTCAAGAAGTTCCTGCCCTGCTTGCGCTGAGCCATCCTCCAGCCCCTGCCCAAGCCCTGTCAGCATCGCTGCCTGCGCAGTGCCGCTGTAAACTGAATCAGTGAAACAACTGAGGTAAAAACAACTTCTTGGATGGGTTTTGATGCTGGAGGAAATGTTTGCCCAAGCGGTAGTTGACCACCAGCTCCTGACCTTCCAAGCAGCAGTAAATGTCCCGAATAGTCTCCCCTGCCACTCTGCTTGGGACTACTCTTTGGTGAATGCCAAGTCCCTTGGGACTTGCTGGCTGAGAAGGACCAGGGAGCAAAGTGCAGAGTTGTGGGAACCCCAGGCAGAAAGAGAACCCACTAATTTAAAAATAAAAGGTATTCTAGAGACGGGTGAGGGAATAGTGACGTCCGTCTGTATTGATAAACAAGCTGAAAAACCAAGGTGATGATTATCTGAGTGGCAGGAGGGCACATCCAGTGCTCTTGGGAAGCAGGCAGAGACAGAGGAACAGAGGCCCCAGCCAGCTTAAGAGGGGAAAATTATGGCTGAGTGAGTAAAGCAAGAAAAAAGCATATTAATTTTCTCCTTTCCTTCTTGTAAGAGAAACAACACAAAACAAACCCAAATTCATTTATATGCCTCAATACGGACCCTCTGAAAGGCTGGGCATGGCCAACCTCACGGGCACAGGGCCAGTGCGGTGGGACCGGGCAAGGCTCTCTCCAGGGACCATGCACAGGCTTACGGGCAGCAAACGTGCACAGCCACTAAACCCGCAACAGTGGCATCTCCTGTACAGGTTTTTTACTTCCCCTATGAAGAAACTGTAGTTGATTTTCTTCCAAAGCAAACCCCCTCTATACCTAGAGTACGTATAAACTAAATACCTATGTATTTGGCTTCTTCCTTTTCTTCCCGAAAACTGACTCCAACGTTTCTCTTATTTTTCATAGAAAACACAGCACTCACTATTCCCAGGTATGCCAATAATCCATTGTAACTGCTTCTGCCTGCCTGCAAAACACACCTGGCCACCCTCGTGAAACGGATTTAGCATGAGCAAGTGCCAGGAGGTTCTGCTGAAAGCATTCCCCAGTCTTCAAGCCTGTAAAGATTCGTTACTGGGGTCACGAACACTGCTGAGAGAAGATTTTAATTCAGGGGTCCCTATTGCTACAGCCAAGTGGAGAAGTAACTGAGAAAGCAATTCAGGACGACTGCATCCGATGTCATGTGAGGTGCCCCTAACAAAATACGAGATGCTCACAGGGAGGCAAACTCTCAAACAGCGCTGCTTAACAGCCGAGGAAGGGTGCATGATGAACCAGCTCAGCAGAAATCATCTGCGCTTGCACCTGATACCAGAGGCACCCCGCAGCAGCCGGTCCGCTTGTCAGAGAGAGGGAAAGAGGCTTCCACAGATGACTGGACAGTAATCCGCCGAGGAGAACTGTCTCGTTAATAAATCTGTCCTCTGCAATGAGACTCCGCTCACACAGATGTGTCAGTTCCTCTATTCGGAGGGAGCAGCCTGAAAAAGATCACAGCAGCTACGCTTTCCGTGAATGGCAGAGGCCAGGGCGAAGAGGCATCGGCGAGCGTCGGTGAGGTGGTGGCGTGGCGTGCTGCCTCGGCAGGTCTGCCCACGGGCGGCTTCTGCCCGTACGAAGGAAACCACGCTACAAAAGCAGGAGGCTGCCCTGTCTGCCTGTGTCAAGCAAAGTTGTCAACAGCACCTGGTTTTTAGGCCCCATTTGGCAGATTGTACTGTTGGACGTTCCACTGCCATGAAGTTCTTACAGCCTTTTGGTTTTACCTCATGCTAAAAGGGTTTTTAAATCCAAACAGCTCATGCACCTGGAGGAAGACAGAACTGGTCAGCAAGCGTGACCTTCTGCAAGTTTTCACTTCCTGGTTCATGAGTCAATTCTTTTTTTTTCCTCCCCTTTCCTTTCTTAAATTCTCCAGCACCGGAACTGAAGGAAAACCAGAATTCAGCTGTGGCCCTGGGCTTACCAAGCCGCCATCTTGTGCAGGGTCAGCAGGACATGGTGTCCTCTACAGCCCACCTCCGCGGCCCGTCTCCAGGCCCTCCACTGCAACGCTCTCGCTTTGGGCGAGAAGATGTGAAAGAACCTGAGGAAATCCTCCCACCAACAGAGACAGTGCCTCCACCGGAGCGAGGCATCTTTGCAGAACAACTGAAGGGAGGACTCCTGTGCAGTCTTGTTCTCCCTCAGAGGCAGCAGACCACAGCACGCGTCTCCTGCGGTACTCCATACACACAGGGAGACATGCAGGAGGTTCACCACTACTGCTCACCTACCGCAAAGCTTCCCCTTGAACATCTAACTGTGAAACAGAGAAGGAAAACTCAATTAAAGATGAAAGGGGCAAATTATGCACCGTAAAGTCAAACGACATCAACTCCTCCTTTCCATCCTTCATCTAGAAAATTCAAGAAAGTTGGAAGTAAGCTGCAAACTGAACAAAAGCCTTGTTTAACCTCACCACTGGGATACTCCACGTACTACTCTGAAGTTAATAGAACACTTTCAATAATTTATAGCTAACCTTTTATCCTACTATATTTTGAAATCTACTCCCTTATACTAATAAATAAACAAAGGAGAAAGGGCACTTTGTGTGGCACCTACCATATGAGTCAGTGAATATGTATGTGTGAGCAGGCACAGGTATGGGCAGGAGCCTGCAGAATCACAAAAGGATGACAGAAACAATGTTTACAAGTTCAAATGCCCCCAGCTGTGGAAAAGAAGCAATGGAAAAACCCACATCAATCTGTAAAAAATTAATCTGAAGAGGCTAAAATTTGAAAAGCACCTATGTCAGAACCCAAACCTACAGATATTCTCTTGGTGGAGTCCAAAAGAAAATGATACGCACCCCAGTCCTGGAGGAGACCAACAATTTTTACATATTTAAAACATTAAATCCAGGATGTTCCTGGGACCAGGATCCCACCTTTGCTATTTAAATATATAATTCCTCCATTTGCTGCATTTTCTTTGCCAAGAAATACAATTTAAAAAAAACCCAAACAACTTCTCTAGCATTGCTGTACCACAGCAGCAGTGCAACTCTAATTCAGTCCAGATCTGTCCCACCCGATCCTCAGCGCATGCACTGATCTTGCAAAGACACTCTTCCTCCTCCCCTGCAGTAACATCGCTCCAGTGACTGCAAAGCCCCTTGCCCCATCCCTATGTAACACAGTTTGGCTAGATGCGGCATCGGCTTCAGAGAAGAATCCATCTGTTGCGACTTCAAAGACGACGAGTTGGAGCTCTGTGATTCCTAAAACCCACAAATATTCCACCTTGGTTTGCCTGATTTGTCATTAACGTTTCTCATGCCTAAATTAAGAAGGACACAAAGCATCAGATGCGGGCTGACAGTGTTGCAGCTGAACAGCTTTTATAGCTTAGCCTCGTTTCCCTCCACACCTCCAAATGTTTCTTGGTTGTGCCTGCTGCATACCAACACATGGCAAGCCATCGCAAGCCAAATTAATATTATTAGTGTGCGCTAACTATTATGGGTTTGGTGCAAACTCCAATAAAACTAAGGAACCAATTATTTTACCACATCTATGGGGCACTGACCTGTTTGCCCATTTTCCCTGTTCTCAAAGATCCTTCAGCCTGGTACCCAACTCTGTGATGAAGCCTGTTTAGCACCAGTGAAGTTCCCCACATTCAGACTGACAACGTTCTGAGCTGAGATGAGGGAATCAAAGTTAAAATCCAGCCCATCTGCATCCATGAGTTCACTGCGGATAATGGACTCCATGTCACACTCCAGGCTCCCATTGAAAATATCCAAGTCCAAGTCACTTGGGAATTTCTCGTGTCCCATGACTGGGAGGTTCACGCTAGAGGAGTACAAAGAGGAGCCTGAGAGCGGGTCAGAAAGTGTTTGCATAGACTGATTGACAGGTGACTGCTGATGTTTGGTGGATCCCAAGCTGTTTGAGTCACTCAAGCCTATGTTACTGATGGAATTGGACAAGGCACGGCTGCCACTAAGAGAGGAGTTGTGGGACTGGTGCTGGTGATGGGGCAGGCTCTGATTGACCAGACTGCCCTGGCTGGACTGCGCGGCAAACGACATCATGGGGTCGTTGCGGAGCATTATATTCCTGCGGGAATTCTGGGCAGACACAGCTGTGCTGGCTTGTGACATGAGTGGGTCAGACTGTGTCATCATGACATCGCTGTGACTAAGTGCATCAGAGGCGAGGAGATCCTGCAGCGTCTGGTTGTTGTAATGAGAAATGGAAGAGAAGGTGGCCTGCTTGTTCTCCTGAATGGTCTGCATGGGTGACTGGCGGAGGGAATTCAGGGACGATGGCCCAAACACGGCGTTGTTGAAACTACTTGACGGGGAACCCAGCCCTGAACCTTTGGAACCATAAGGAAAACTGGAGCTTCTCTGCATTATCCCTCCTGTGGGTGACTGCTGGGAGGGAGGGAGTGTTATATTGTCCAAGAGATCATCCATGAGGTTATCTGTCAGTCCATCATTCAAATTCATTGTCCCAGCCATATCAGTCAACCTAGGCAACTCCACAGTACATGGTTTGTTTACTGATGGGGACAAGCTCGATGGACTACTGTACAGCATGGGAGAAAGCGGAGCATCATCGTCTTGAACATCATCCAGTTCGGTGCTCGCCAAGATCGGTGACAAGCGGCCACTTATCGTACTGGCATTTGAATTTGTACGGGAGCGAAAATCCGTCCATGCATCCAGCTCGTCGCTGCTGCGGGAGGTGGGACTCCCTGGCCACTTGGAGAGCTGAGAAGGGCTGTCCTCGCTCGTCTCCTGGGCAGTCTGCAGGGCTGCCTTTTTCTTAGCCGCCCGCCCTCTGCTCTTTGTGTACTTGTTGCTGTTGTCCATTGACACAGCACGTCTCCGGGGCGCCTTGCCACCTTTTCCACCATCTGGATTGATCATCCACCAAGAGCTTTTCCCGGTGCCTTCATTCTGCACCCTGACGAATCGACTGTGGAGTGACAAGTTGTGCCGGATTGAATTCTGCAGGAAAAGAACAAAAGAAAACGTCAAGACCAGCACGCCACTTCTTTTACTATCCAAATCTTAATCATTAAACCAACATCACATGAAAAGAGCAACATGAATAAAAGCATTGGACCCTCCTGGACATCACCATGGCTTTCTCGGATGGTGGATACAGGAGGGCTGGAGCATGCTGCTGTAAAACAAGCCCCGTGCTTGCACTAGTGGTGCATTCCTGCTGCCCATCCCTACACCCCCAAAAGCTGCATTCTAAGGAAAGGAGTGTGACACAGCCCTACTCCTGCTAGCAAGGAGCTAGACGTTTCTCCCTTACTTTTGACTCAGGACAAACCTCTATACTACCAGCAATCTTGCCATCGGTTCCTTGAAATAAAATCTGCAAAGGCACTGCAAAAATCTGACTGGAGGGGTAGTCACACTCATTGCAGCCTCTGCAAATGTCTTTTTAATTCTTCATGTGCATGTGTATTGTGTATTGGTTATAATAACTCTTGAGAAAACTGCAAGTGCTGTTGCTCCTCTCCCACAGGCACTCTGTGCATGACTAAGCTGTACTTTCTTGATTAGAGGCACCAGAATTACACCTGTACTGCAATAGCTGGCCAGCTGTCCCCTTGCTATAGTATCCTCACAGCCTTCAAAACATGATGTGACACAGTGCATGACAATATCCCTGTCCCTGTAAGCTGCTAGATAGAGAGTTGTGTAAAGCTGCTGTACACAGTCAGATACCCTGTGCCATACAGGATGATACAAAATACAGTACTTTCAGGGGAGCCCATGCACTGCCTGCTTTTGCATATTACCTGCTTGCACTAGTCAGCAATGTCTACTGTCCAAAAACCACGTTGGCTCAAACCGATGATAATCATCTCAGAGTGAGAAAGAGGCCAAGAAAACCAGCCCACGATACCCCTAGTGAAATGACTCCAGATTTAAACCGAAATAACCAAGATGAAAATCCCAGTCCACTCATCCTGCTGAGGACAAGCAAGTGGTATTTGTTAGTGAGAATGCTTCCAGGTTTTGGTTTTTTTCCTCCATGTGCAAGTCAAAAGATTTCTGGAACTATCCCATATTCCTTTGACAAAACAGTTGTGCTATTCCTCCAGGTTAAAGATGATTAAGTTTAAAAAGTTGCATGAGTTCTTTTTTCTTAAATTTTGGCAATTACCATGTATATCTATAAAGAGGATAAAATCCCATTTGTTCTACCAGCATGCTTTAAAAACACAAAGTCAAAAGGACTATAGCATAATCAAACCATCCAAGGTAAGTGTCCTTCATTTACAAAGCAGTGAAGAAATTCCAGATTTAAATGGGCAAAGAATGAATCAATCAACAAATCATTCACAAGAATCTCGACATTTGCATCCTTAGGATAAATGGTTGTTTGACATAAGTGAAACTGGAGACACATTTGATGTATGAAGAAATACAGCCCAGCTTTTTTTGAAGTATTTTTTTCAGTATATAATGCCTTTTTTTTCCCCTGTTAAGTGTTGTGGGTTTTGTCAGATTGTGAAATGGAAAACATGCCTGAAGTTCTCGCACGCAGACAGCAGACGCAGTTGTGATTATCACTTAATGAAAAGAGAAATCATATGGACCACGGTTCAAAATAGCAACTGTTATGTTTTAAACAATTTGCACAAAACAGCAGACCAGACTTCGCAGACCTACTCAAGAGAAGTTTGGGTCAGTGCCTCAGCTATAAACTTGTCCATTTCTAAGGAACTATCATGCCATCAAAATATGGTGGATTGAGTTGCAGCATAATAGTTCTTCAGTCTAAGGAAGGAAAGAGCTTTTTATTAGTTAACTGATGACATTTTAACTATATTTTGAGTCTGGCAATAGTCTGTTTCTAACTTCTAATAACTAGGCGCCACTGCTTACTTTCTCACGTTTCGCCCAACTGGCTGGAGAACTGCTGTTTTTTTGAAAAATAACCTTTGTTGATATTCCAGCTTGTACTGCATCAATGCAGGTAGCTCTCACATTCACCCCCTGGGACTTTCGTGGACAACCACTTGTGAGAACATCTGCATGAGGATCTCGCCTTGCAAAGAGCCAGCGGCAGGGCGAGGACAACCAGAGATAGACCACCACACCAAGCCAGGCTCCAAAAGCCATACAAACCATGCTGTTCCCCACCTAAAAATGCTGGGTATAAGAGTACACAGCACCGTGACTCTTGCTAATGAAAAAAATCTTAGAAAACACACAAAAGAAACACCCAAGGTAGCATACGCAGCGTGACTCACAACTTCAGATATAAAAACACTCAGTCAAAGTGCCAGCACCTAACAGTTTTCCACCTATAGTATTCTCATAAAACGGCTTATTTCTGTTGGTGGTAGCCATAGTATGAAACCATTTGGCCTAAAACCATGAAAAATCCTAAATGGTAAAATTGTGAGACTGAAGCACCACCTTTCAGGATGAGGGCTCCTGCATGTGTGTGCACATGTGTAATTTTCTTCTTCTTATATCTTTTTGCTCAGTGTTGGTATTACACAAGTAATAAAAGAATGTAATAATACTTCTGCGTTGAAAATTGGTGGTTATAAAAAATCCAAGCAGTTTGTTTTCCTTTACATTAAGCAATATGCCACTTATACTCCGGCTTCTGTTTTTCTTTACTTTTCTTCTGTAGGAAGACTGTTTTCTTAAGCATAATTATGGGCCAATTTATTTTTGTGTACCCCATCTCCACCCTCTGTTCAAACACTGCCCTAAAACCCACTTCTTTCACGTAACCTCCCCCGCTAACCTCTTCAGCAACAGTATCTGAGTTTCTTGGTTTCTCCTTGTGTTGGATGCTCTGCCAAATCAAATTAGGGCTGGATCCTATTATCCTTTCACATGCAATTTTACTACAGAAGTCACCAGGACTGACAACTCACATCAGTAAATGCTGCTGTGCTGTGCTACCAGGCTGCAATCTGGATGGAAATAACTGTATTTTCTACCTGGTTTCTGACCTGTCAAAGAATGTTCCTATCTGCTTAAAATATAGGAAAATATCACGGGACATTCTCTGCTCACAACCACGTGCATTAGTAATATATGACCAGGCGACAAACCACAAAGGAGGTGGGGAAGCAAAGACAATACAGTTTATCATTTGAACCCGCTGCTGATCAAATTAATGGGGATTTGTCTTTGACTTATGTGGGAGACGGATTAGGCCATGATGATGGAAACATAACACATTTTTCCATGCCAAAATGCAATGAGAAACTTTAAAAGATCTATAAAGGAACTTCCATCAATCTGTCCTGGAGACCATATGTAGATGGGACAGATGCTAGCCAGGCTGCAGACACCTTGGAAAGAGCTCAGATACTACCGATGGGTAGAACATATGGACTGTACAAGAACAGAGCAGAGAAGAAATACGATGAGCTCCTCCCTTTATTAGTGTTACTATTTATACCGGACTTGAAGAATGCTGTGCGCTCTGCTAAGAGCCAGAAGACTTGAGGTTCCTGCAGATAAGATCAAGAGCATCCCGTACGGCATTGAGACCAGCCGGGTCCTGGTCCCCCAGGGAAGCGGTCCTGCGGGGAAGAATGACCGGCCCTGGAGATGAGGAAGACCTGGACAGAGGAACACGCGAGGCAGGTCAGATGTGGTGTGAGCAGAGGGTGGTACAGTGCCACAGGCAAGCGGTGCTGCTACCCTACCTTAGCTTAGGCTGATGGCATCAGGAGAAGGGGTGCCACTGGGTGCCCACTAGTAGCCAGGGCAGCAACACAAGGGGGTAACAGCACTTTCCCAAACTCGGGGCCACGCTCTCAGCTTCTATAAATGTCGATCTGCTGCACTGCGTTTTGTTCAGTTAATAGTCCTCGAGGGAACCAGCCACATTTTGCTCACAAAAAAAAAAAATTAAATCCGCTGCCATGTCCTAATTACATGTGTCTCTCTCGATATTTTGATAAGACTGCACATGAGTAAGCTCCCAGAGAGGACACTCAGACATTTCCAAAGTGCCATATACCTCATTTGATAGGAGCAACTGAATGAGTCTCCTGGGGAGGCTGGGACCGCGCGTTATTTCAACACTCAGCCCCCGTCAGGCAACAGCAGCAAATGCTTGAGCCTTTAAAACGGAGAAAATTCCCCCTCCCTGTGCGTGTTTCGGCCTCTTCCAAGCCATGTTTACCTTGTGGAGCCCGTCCATTAACTCAGACACCAGCTGCAAGTGCTTCTACTGCAGTACAGAGTCTTTTTTGTCTGGAAGCAACATGTGGTATCAATTTATCATCCTCAACAACGCAACAAGGAATCCACTCACTTTAAAAATAAAAAGAGAGTTGTGTAACTTAACTCTTAAAAGCCCCTGCTTTTTTTTAAAAAAAAAAAAAAAAGCCTAAAGATTAGCAAGATGAGGCGCAGCTGGTGGCTGCCGAGTCCAAGTTACACACTGGTCTGTTTTTATTTCAGTGTTTTGTAATGAGTGGCTAATTCGTTATTTCAGATACAGGCTCCTGAACTGTAAAGTTACGGCTACAAATCAAAAGCAGTTGTTTATTTTAACAAGTGGGATACTAGGACATGATGGGAGAAAAACAAATGCTATCTGCAGACCCATAAATGCTGCTAATGCTCACTTGGGAGAATTACACTTTATTTTATACTGTATTAACATATTTAATGTTCTAACTTCACTGTATGAAGTTGTCTGGCAGCTACACAGTAGAGAAAGGCATCAGATCTAATACCACTGAAAAGAAGCCATGAAAATAACTCCAGCTTATCAGTCTCCAGCTGACCAGAGGGAGCCCCACTTCTCTATGGCTCTGCTTGCTTACTTGAACATCAGTTTCCAGCCTATGTCACCTTGCTCAAGATGTTGTAGCATGAATCTCCTTTGGGATAAACACCCCTATAGAGGGCCTCCGCCAAAAATTACTTGTTTAAGAAAAGCAAAATGAAACAAACTACTTCCTTTGCATTCAGTTGTTGCTGCAACAGGAGGCTGTGAA